ACCCACCCCATCCCCAGGGGGAGTGGCTCCCACACACCCACCCCGCACCATCCGGCTCCCCCTGCAGCCGTCTGCCCACCTGTGGATGATGTGGCGCCTCTGCAGGTAGTCCAGGGCCAGGGCCAGCTCGCAGATGTAGAGCTTCACCGCGCTCTCCGTGAAGTGGACGTTCTGCTGCAGGTGGTAGCGCAGGTCCCCGCCCAGCAGCAGGTCCACCACCATGAACATGTCCTCCTCGTCCTGGAAGGAGTACCTGGGAGCAAGGAGGGACAGAGCACCTTAGGGAAGGAGAGGACTCCCACGGCCTCGAGGCCAGCACCCCCATTTCACAGGTGCGCAGACTGAGGCTCGGACAGAGGCACCGACGTGGCCAGGCCCCAGGGAACCCGCAGCTTCTACTTCCTGCCTCTAGGAAGCGGGCCATAGCCCAAGCCCGGGGGAAGCCGTGAGAAGGGAAACTAAGGCGCTCCGGTCGGCCTCGGAGGAGCAGCCAGTGACGCAGCACCGACAGGCGGCCTCGGGACTGAGCCCCCTCGGGCGTCTGGGCGTCCCATGGAGTCCCCCTGATGTCACGTGGAGCAGAACTGCCCAGTCAACTCACAGAACATGAGGTAACAAAAGCGTTGTGTTTTAAGCCAGCCATTAAGTTTTAGGGCCCCCCCCCCAAAGCAACAGGAAACTGGCACAGCACTGAATTCAATAAAAACGAACACTGAGGCACATTAAGGACTGAGAAGCCAACAGGCAGGCTCCGAGAATAAACAGTGCTGAGCCACCATAAAGTAGAATCACAGTGTCGTAAAACGGTCCCACGTAGAGCCGCGGAGGTGAGCAGGCACCCCGAGGGGTAATCACGGCGACAGATGTGGTCATGGCGGCCAACACCTGAGTCTCAGGTCCTCGAATATCAGACCTGGGTCAGCCGGGCCATTCTCCTCATTGGACAGAAGAGGAAACTGAGGCCCAGAGAGAAGAGCAACTCAGTGAGCCAGTGACAGACATGTTGGGGACAAAACCCCCAGATCTCCAACTCTCCCCAGCACTGTTACGAGGACAGGCCGGGACGCACACACACAGTTTCTGTAACCTGGGCGAGAAGCCCCGAGGAGGGAACCACAGGAGGTCACAGGCACGTGCTTACAGGACGGGCAATTCTGGCCTGGGAACAACCTTAAAGGCCACCCAGTCCCGCCTGCCCCGCATCACAGAGACTGGGGCCCAGAGGCGGGAAATGGTGGCCCAGACGCTGCAGGCCTTGTGTGTCCCACTTGACTTGTCCCGAGTCAAGGCCAGAGGCGAGGGACTGTGCCGCCAAACCATTAACCTACCAGGCGTTTACAGGGCACCTGCCCTGGGACTGGCACTGGGCTACGTGTTGGGGACACTGGGACAAAGAAACCGCCCCTGCTCTGCAGGAGCACCCCGTCCCCTGTAAGAGGGGGCTGAGCCAACGGCGCTTGCCGTGCAGGGCTGCAGGTACTCTGGGGGACTCGAGGGGCGCAGGGTGGTGCGAGGAAGGCGGGAGTCAGCTCCCCAGCAGGTGGGGGGTGGGGAGGTCTTTGCCGACAAGGGGTACGTTGGATCGGGCGCACACAGGGACTGGTGACTCAGACACAGGGACAGCATGCACCCTCCGGTGCCAGGACTTCAGGACTCTGCGGGGTCATGATGCCTCCCATTCCCCCATTTCCAGCATCTTAGCCACTGACTAGCAAAGGGGGGCGATGGACCAGCTCCTTCCTTCTGGCTTCAGCCTCACTTCAGGGCCAGTGGAGGGGCTGCCAGCTCAGGCAGGGACGAGAGGGTCCAGGGGCTCGCGGGTGGTCCAGGGCCATCTGCAGGGCACCAGCTGGACTGTCCATCTGCCGCAGGGCAAGTGGGAGCTCAGTCTGGCACCCGATGGCTGCCTCACTCGCCGCGTCGCGGGAGTGGCTGGACGTCAAGGACACGGTTAAAAAATAAAGCTGCCCATTTCACTTAGGGTTTTTGCACCTACTGTCCCACACTTCCCTGCCCACCGCTGTCCTCTTGCCTGTCCCAGTCTTGGCATCAAGGGGAAACAGCCTCCTAGGAGGAAGCGGCTTTTCTCTGTTCAAGAAGAGTCCCCGGGAGGCCTCGCTTGCTTGTAGAAAGTCAGTCTCATATGCCTTCCAGTCCCGATTCTGACTCATGCCCCCCCCAAGGTGCTCCCAGTGGAGCTGTCCTGTCTGATGGGTCCTGCTCCTTCTTCCCAACAAAGAGATGAGCAAATACAGGGCCCGGGGCTTGGAAGTCTCCCTGTTTCCTCTGGCAGCGGGAGCTGATTTACCCGGACCCTCTCGGGCGCCCTGGGGTCAGCGTGCATGTTGAAAGGAAACCGCCTCTCCCGGGGTTGCCAGGCTAGATGCTGTGACCAAGGGGCTGTTTGGATCCTGTTGCCCAGCCTGGGGATAAGGCCCATCTGTAGGGTGGAGCTGCCCAGGGCCCAGCAGGCCGGAGGGCAGACGCAGCGAGGCGCGGCAGGCGGTGCCGGCCTCAGCCTGCGCAGAAGAGCGCTCCATCCTGAACCTCGTCCTGACAATGACCTGCCATGACTGTGCTATTTCACTTAAGCTCCTGTCACCTGGAACTGAAAGTCTGAGCTGATGCATCTTTCCATTTCCTACTGGAGAGCAGGGTTGAGACGCTCAAAAGAAATGACAGGAATCGGCCATAACATGCCTCCTACAGATGCTCGATTTGTATTCTAACAGTTGAGGGACTATTTCAACGTTACATTAATATTTAACTGCACCCTCCATTGCCAGCTACAGTGTCAAAGGGTATCTCATGCGTATTCCACCAACGTGAGGTTCAGGAGAACAGACCGGAATGCACTCTAAAGAGGAAAGTCAGACGCAGAGGGAGCAATGACTAGGCAAGAGCTCGGGGTACGGCTTTTTCTTGCTGCAGACCCATTTTTTGCCTGGGCCACGGACTCTGCATTCATTCCCAAAGAGACTCGCTGTTACAATCGGAGGACAGAGATTGGCCTTTTGTTTCTCTCTCTGAAGTTTGCGCTCTCCCACAGCTCTGTGCCAGTGCTCTGTCCGCAGTTATAATTAAGCTCTCATGCTGCAGACTGTCACGGGAGTGACGGGGTCACCCGTGAGAAAGCTACGCTCTGCTGCGGGAAAGCTGGCCAGTGGGGCGGTCTGGGTAATTAGGATGACCTTGAAGACAGACAAGGTCAGGAGCTGGGAAGGCATCCATCCTGGCCTGGATGTGGAAACAGACCAGCGTGAGGAACCCAGTGTCTATTTTTTTTTAAAACATTAATTTACTAACTTGTTCCAAAAAAAAAAATTTTTTTTAAAGTGACTTGCAAAATACATATAATAAAATTGAAACTATGTAAGCCATAGATCAGGTCAAAAAATATAAAAGGACCTCAAAAGAGCAGAAGCAGGAGAAAACAGGCCAATTCCTGCGCAAAGACCTTGCTGCTTGCCCAACACCGGCCACCAACGTGTCTGACTTTCCCAGAAAGCCCAGCAAAAGGAGAAACAGGACCAGCCTCATGATTCAGCATCAGGGTAGAAAAAAAAAATCAACTGTGTTTAGTAAAGAAAATGATTATGCCTGGTACGGAAGCCAGAGGGAAATCTCTTCCCCGGATTCACAGAGACGGCTTCTGGAAAGTGCTGAACAGTGACCCATCTAAAGTAGCTCTAGAGGGAGGAACGTGTTTAACGGGGGCTGTTTTTCACAGAATGTTCCTCAAGGTGAACGGAAGGCGTCCAAGTCCAGTTCCGTAAGGGGTCTGCACGGGGCGGACGCGCAGGGTCTGGGCGCCGCGCTCACTCGGCGATGAGCTCAGGCCCCTCAGCGAGGATGCACTCAGAGACTCGACCCCGCAGACTGAGCGTGCTTGTTGTACGCTGCTTGAAACAAAGGCATCTGCTGGCTTTCAAGTGGCCCACGACAATTACAAGGATTTGGGGCGGGAGGGAGCCAATTCCGGGAGACAGGAGTTCATCAGGAGCGACCCAGGCCAGTCCCGAAGCCTGGCCCTCATATCCAGCGGGAGCCGGTTCAAATGAATGGCGATTAAACTAGTATTTACAGAGTGTCCTCTCATCTGAGTCAGTTAAGGGGGAAACCGGAAAACCCACAGGCCTCTGTCCTCACTGCGCGGCGAGTCGCCGCCACAGAAAAACACCAGAGCTGGGCATTTGGAGAGAGCCGAGGCGGAGACTCCGTGCCCCCACCTGCCAGCTGTGCCTCCCCGGGCAAGTGCTCAAGTCTTGGAGCTGCGTTTGCCTTCTTTGTAACATGTTTATTATGAAAATCAGAAAAAAAATCACAGGGTTGATATGCGATGCAACGTGGAGGCAGTTTGAACAGATGTAATTACTACTCTGCTCAAATACTAAATGAAAGCAAAAGGACCTGCCTGTGGTTTAAGTCCTTGGGTTTCCTTCTCAGCAAAGAAGCTGCTACGTGACAGGCGACAACCCTCATGAGCTCCTTCGAGGTCTGACCTCAGGACTCTGGGAAACACCAGCTTCTCTGTGTTAAGTGGCAGCGCCAGGGACGCGCTCGCAATGGAACCTTCGCATGGCGGGGGCGGCAGATTAAGAGAGGGCTCCTCGCCGCGAACCCAGAGTAGGACGTGCGTTTTAAGAAGTTTGTATAATTGTATTTTTTTTAATTGGTATTTTTTAGAGAGGGAGAGAGAGAGAGAAACACCAATTCAAGAGAGAAACATCGATCGGCTGCCTCCTGCACGCCCGCTGCTGGGGATCGAGCCCGCAACCCGGGCGCGCGCCCTGACCGGGAATCAAACCAGCGGCCTTTCGGTTCATGGGTGATGCTCAACCAGCTGAGCCACTCCAGCCGGGTGAGAAGTTTGTATCATTTTTTAAAAGGCATCAACACTTAGTAAAACGTCTTTTTAACTATGGGCTCACCGTGTTCTCACTTTGTTCTTGGAATGAAAAGAGATGCTCTGGGGCATCTGCAACAGGTGACCGATGTGGGGCGTCAGGGCACCTAGAAGAGGTGGGCGACTGATGCTTGGCTGGAAAGCCGGTTCTGTTTAACATCCTTCACGAGTCTCGCCTGACTTCTAGAACGTGGGCCCTGCCTCTCCTTCCGGCCCACCCTGCTCCTCACGCCGGGGGCCTGGGCCCCAGCTCTCGCGGTGCTCACGGCTCACACTGTGGCTCTTCCCGGGGGGCCCTCTCAGAGCCCCTCGGCTCGGCCCTCAAGCCCATTCATTCCTCCATCCCT